TTAAAGGCACATTAGTGGCACTTTAATGGCAAAAATTTTGTATCTTTGAAGGCAAATTATGATTACCAGTATTGGGGCGTAGCTTGGCTCAATAATGGCACATTCATGGCAAAGTTGATCAATCTTTAATGGCAATATTCAATTGCCAGTGATGTGACGAAGATCGGCCTATTAATGGCACATTAGTGGCACTTTAATGGAAAACATTTTGTGGCAAATTATAATTGCCAGAATTGGGACGAACCTTGGCTCAGGAATGCCATATTAATGTCTATCATTTTGTATCTATGATGGTAAATTATAATTGCCAATATTGGGACGTAGCTCGGCCCAATAATGGCACAGTATCGGCCAGTGTAGTGTAGCTTATAAGAACCCTTTTGCTTCCTCGACTTCACGTCAGAGTAGCAGAGTGGTCAGAGTGTTAGGCTGTGGTGCGTCAGGTTCAGGTATCGATCCCCGCGAGCGGTAAGAATTTTTCAAATATTTGTAAGTTTGCGATTAATTCAGGGAAATAAACTGTATAAATATTATGAATTAATTAGTTAATTAAATAAAAAATATATTTTTTAAAAATTTTTTCAACACTGGGGAGTAATGGCAGCCAATAATGGGCCATTAATGTTTACCGAGAATCGGCCGATGATTGGCTGCCGACGGCCTACCGCGGTTAACCTCCCGACAGTCGGGCCACTATTGTCTGCCAAGAGTAGGCACTGACTATGCCGTCACTGGGCCAGTTTTGGGCCGTTTTTAATTTCGCACTTGGGAATAAGTAAATACACAAGTAAATAAATAATTTCCCTTACAACACAGACAGCGCAGCATTAGCGAGTGAGGTACTTACGTATATTTAAAAAAATTTCAACAGACACTACGTGCATCAACGAACCTTAAAAAATTCAGCAATTTATATTATCAATCGTTTATTAAATCTATATATGTGATATGTGTATATGTAGCAGTTTATATCTGCACATGAGTCAGTATACATGTGTATATAATTTATGTACATGTGTGAGTATACATGTACATGTGATTAGTGTATATGTTGAGTATACATGTGTGGGTGAATTGCGCGCATGCTTGATATTCATAGAACACTACTGCGCATGCCTGATATTCCTAGAACACTACTGCACATGCCTGACATTGATAGAACACTATTGCGCATGCGTGACATTGATAGAAAACTACTGCGCATGCCTGATATTCATAGAACACTACTGCGCATGCGTAACATTGATAGAACACTACTTCGCATGCCTGACATTGATAGAACACTACTGCGCATGCGTGACATTGATAGAAAACTACTGCGCATGCCTGATATTCATAGAACACTACTGCGCATGCGTAACATTGTACGAACACTACTGCGCATGCCTGATATTCCTAGAACACTACTGCGCATGCCTGACATTGATAGAACACTATTGCGCATGCGTGACATTGATAGAAAACTACTGCGCATGCCTGATATTCATAGAACACTACTGCGCATGCGTAACATTGATAGAACACTACTTCGCATGCGTGACATTGATATAACACTACTGCGCATGTGTAACATTGATAGAACATTACTGTGCATGTGTGACATTGATAGAACATTACTGTGCATGTGTGACATTGATAAGACACTACTGCGCATGTGTGACATTGATCGAACACTACTGCGCATACGTGACATTGATAGAAAACTACTGCGCATACGTGACATTGATATAACACTACTGCGCATGCGTGACATTGATATAACACTACTGCGCATGTGTAACATTGATAGAACATTACTGTGCATGTGTGACATTGATAAAACACTACTGCGCATGCGTGACATTGATCGAACACTACTGCGCATAGGTGACATTGATATAACACTACTGCGCATGCGTGACATTGATATAACACTACTGCGCATACGTGACATTGATAGAAAACTACTGCGCATACGTGACATTGATATAACACTACTGCGCATGCGTGACATTGATATAACACTACTGCGCATGCGTAACATTGATAGAACACTACTGCGCATGCGTGACATTCATGGAATACTACTGCGCATGCGTGACATGACATGTATGTGTTTTGTGTATATGTGTAACATTCATGGGTATGTGTTTTTTGGACATGTGTGAGTGAAGTATTTTCAAAGATAGTTAGACAGAATAGAAAGAGGTGTGAGTCGGTCGGTCGGTCGGTCGGTCGTACATTAACTTAATATAATATAGAGGATTTACTTGCAATATTCGGAATATTTAATTGCAATGTTTATTGAAAGTTGTGTAAAGATTTAAAAGTCCCGATTTATAGCGCGAAACTTTCCTGAACATTTCAATGAAATCTTCGCATAATTATAATTATAGGCGAAAATATGATTTAAATGTTCAGGAAATTTACACACTAAGCATTTATTTAATCGGGACATTTAAATCTTTACACAACTTTCAATAAACATTGCAATTAAATATTCCGAATATTGCAAGTAAATATTTAATAAATTTTTAGGAAAGTTTCGGTGCTGAGGGGGTATAAAACCTATTAAATCCCAGGCGAGAACTGACGCTAGATTCAGGCTTTACGGAACCTTCGTTGAGGCTTGGTCAACATTGATCAAGCCTTGGTGGGACGGCGGAACGAAGGTTGCTTCTAGCTATAATGTAACACTTATTTAAGACTGACGCTCCAGTCTTTGTTGTAGATTGGCGTTCAATGTTCAATCAATGCTGCGGAACCCTATAATGCAGGACTGAAACAAGGCTGCTTCCACTGTTCCAAAATTTACGCCTCTCTCGCGCTCATTCAATATAATATGAATATATGAATTGTATATAATAATAATATTTTAATAATTATTATTATTATTATTATTATTATTATTATTATTATTATTATTATAGTAATGAATATTATTGATATTATTTTTATTCATGTTATATGCGTCTGTTTGGAAATAAGTTACTATTATAATAATTATATTATTTTCATATAAATAATATATTACTAACAATAAATGTCATTTGAAATAGTAATATTAAAAAAATAATTTTAGTAAAAAAGACAATTTTTCTGTTAATCGACACATTTTTTTCTCGATTTTTTAGCAGACTTTTTAACATTATTTACAAACATTTTCACAAGTTTTTATTCACAACACACAACACACAATTTTATTATTTTATATAACGCTTAAAACAAAGAATGAAAAATATTCGCTCGCATGTGGGATCGAACTCACGCACCCCGTCCCTAACGCATACCGGAAGTCCTAAACGCACGCATTTAAACCGCTCGGCCACAGAAGGCTGGAAGGCACCTCGCCTAATCTACTATTTCAATGCCAGCGCAGTATATTCTGTATATACGGCGCGTCACTCAATATTTGTTCAGCATGGGACACCAATGTTCGTCCCATGCTCGATTAAAGACTCGGTCAATCTTGATACAATATTCACTTTCTTTATTACCGTGTGCACTGAACAATATTAAATATAAATATTTATAAATTATTTATTATTAAAATATTTTTATGATAATTTTATAAGTTAAATTATATATATTATTTTTTTTTCTTGTACAGTGTCAAATTATTATTTTCAAAGTTTAAGAGTTTCGTTTATCTGAAAAATTATTAGTGAAAAAAATGTTCATTAGGTAGTAATAAATATTTATGCTTAGTAGTTTTACACTAGGATTAACTGTTTAGTAAATATTATCAAAAAAACTATTTTTTGTCAAACGCGCGCGACTAAACACAAATAACCTTGAAACTCCAGCATTACCAACTCAACACATACGTTAAACTCTTGAGTTGGCAATGTTAAAGTCTCAAGGTTATTTGTGTTTAATCGCACGCGTTTGACAAAAAATAGTTTTTTGATAATACATATTTACTAAACAGTTATTCCTAGTGTAAAACTACTAGGCATAAATATTTATTACACCCTAATGAACATATTTTTTCACTAAAAATTTTTCAGACAAACGAAACTCTTGAACTTTGAAAACAATTATTTGACACTGTGCAAGAAAAAAATAATAATGTATAATTTAACTTTATTTATATAAATCTTATATAATTAATAATAATAATAATTATTATTATTATTATTATAAAAAAAATAATATTTAATATTTATTTTTAATTTAATATTTTTTTATACCTAATAATAATTATTATTATTATTATTATTAATAAATTAATAATTAAAAAAGAATAATATACACTAAATAAATATTAATATTTATTTACCAATTGATATCTTAATAATAATAATTAATAATAATTTTTAAATAGTATACAAAATTATCATAAAAAATATTTTAATATTAATTAATTTATAAATATTTATATTTAATATTTTTAAGTGCACACTGTCAAGATTGATTCAGGCTTGAATAAAGATCAGATGTTTGAGCTTCACTCACGAAGATTGACCGAGTCTTGAATCGAGCATGGAACGAACATTGGTGTCCAATGCTGAATCAACATTGAGTGACAGTGGTATAAAGACTGCTTCAACACTGGGTTACCCAGGCTGGGCGTTCAAGGCTCAATAAATCTTCAATCCATCGTCAGCATTGGTCTTTCGCGCCTGGGATGGTTTACTATTGTAATTACAGACAACGACCACTCTTAACTTCATAACTTGAAAATGACATTTAATTAGAGGTACGTGTAGAGTTCTTAGAAAACACTTACTATGAATTTATATATGTACATATTTAAATATAATAGATATAGTAATGCTACTTTATTGTAATGTGCTGCATCCATAACAACTAACAGAAAACTGATACTTTTCTTGTCTTAATAACATACTCCAAAGACGCTACTAAAGCGCTATTGATTAAATTTATTTTTCATAAATCGTTAAAACCGAATAAATGGTTCAATTTTATAATTACAGACAACGACCGCTTTTAACTTTATAATTTGAAAACGACATTTAATTATAGGTACGTGTACAGTTCTTAGGAAACACTTTGCATGGATTCATACATATTTAAATACATGCTAAGAAAGCCTATAAGAAATAATGATGTTCAGAGAAGGACTAAATGTAGAGGCTCATTTTATTACTATTTTGTAAGCATCCGGAAGATGGACACTATAAAAAATCCATACTACAGTCTTGTCAGATATATTGTAATAGTAACAGGACAAAGTCGATATAATCCTAAATGGATAAATTTTATCATTCAATCATTTTTTACTTTTATTATAGTTTCTTTTATAACTGGGCAGGTAAAATTGTTTTTAATAATTTTTGCTTTAAGATTGTAATGTATACATTAATGAATTTAGATTACAGGCGCTATAAAACTATTGGATAACATAGACGCATTCTTAGTGTGCATACCACCAACATGTTACTCTTCAATAAGTGCAATTATTTTCTTAAATAATAAGCTGAAAGTAAAACAAGTAAATATTACAAATACATTAATGCACTGGAAATTCGATCATATGGACAAATAGGGTGTGTGTTCGTATAATCAGGAAAGGTCAACTTGAAAAAGTTAAAAGGTGCAGGGTCTTGCGAACATTTTTTTGACACCGGTTGAATTTATTTCGCCCGCTATTCTTTTTACATTTTTTAATTTATTGATAGTGTCAATCTCGAACATATGGACATCTATATGATCAGGTCAACTAATTGAATTTTCATCACTTTTAGTATTTATATTACGCGAAGACTGATATTTTTATTTGTAGTCGGAAGTGTTCTTGTTTTCCTAGTAAAAAAAGAAGTATTGAGTGGAGCGTTTAGGAATTGAGTGAAGCTCTGAGCCAATACGGATTCGAGTAAAAACCGTATTGGGACGTTTGACTCAATCTTTTTTTCATCCGCCGAATACGGTCTTAATTTAGCATTAAAATTAAAATCACAAGACCAGAGTACAGATTATAAATTGAAAGCACAATTGTCCTGGAATGTAAAAATGCCGATTTCGATAAGAAGCAGTGAATATTTGTTAAAAATTGGTAAAAGCAAAGTTTGATAAGCGCGACTGAATTTACCATGTGAATAAATGAAGTGGTATAAGTTTAAATGGACGAAATGGACTGAAAGAAATCTACTGTTACCGACAGAAAGTTCCTAGAGAATTGTGGTAAATTCAACAAAGCAATGAAATTTCATTGTTTAACAATTCTCTAGGAACTTTCTGTCGGTAACAGTAGATTTCTTTTCGTCCATTTAAACTTACCAATTCATTTATTCACATGGTAAATTCAGTCGCGCTTGTCAAACTTTGCTTTTACCAATTTTTAACAAATATTCACTGCTTCTTATCGAAATCGGCATTTTTACATTCCATGACAATTGTGCTTTCAATTTATAATGTGTACTCTGCTCATGTAATTTTAATTTTAATGCTAAATTAAGACCGTATTCGGCGGATGAAAAAAAGATTGAGTCAAACGTCCCAATACGGTTTTTACTCGAATCCGTATTGGCTCAGAGCTTCACTCAATTCCTAAACGCTCCACTCAATACTTCTTTTTTTACTGGGTTGGTCGACCTAATCAAAACCATCCTGGTTTTGGGCTGGACGTTTCTTTTCCTACGAAACTAAAATGTGGTTTGAAACCAGCCAGTAAAATTTCCATGGAATTTCGGTTCCGCGAACTATGCTGTTACCAATCTACCCATGTGTCCTAATCCAAGTCAACGGAAACAATGAACCTCCTGGATTATTTTTTGAACTGGGTAGCAATGTAGCATATAAAAACAATTTTTTTGCCCTAAGGGACCGTCCATAAATTACGTAAGGCATTTTTCTTGAATTTTGATCCACGCACCCACGTCAGTAAGACTCCGTAAGTTTTTGAACCACTAACCCCCCCTATCTTACGTAAGTTTTTGCTTATGTATTTTTAACGAAAATTTATTAGTAGCATTGCAAAAAATTGTTTAATTAATAAAAATGAATTTTTTAGAATAATACTAAATAAAGTATTTCTTAGAATATACTTTTATATAAAATTTATTAAACATGTTTCACTTTGGTCAGAATAATAAATATTAATTTAATATTTAGTAAATTCTTTCTATTATTCAATAAATTAAGTTTTTTGATTTTTGGAAGTCGTATAAAAGGTAAAAGTAAATCATTTTTACTTTTTTATAAAATAGACGACGTGATGATGGTGGCGAACCAGACCACCGAAACGTCGTCAATTTTATAAGAAAGTAAAAGAGTGTTTTTCTTTTACCTTTTATACGTCTTCCGAAATCGAAAAAATTAATTTATTTAATAAATATTAATGCAGAAATTTAGCTTCGTAATATTAATATTTTTGGTCATTTTTGAATTTAAGTTCTGAAGGATATATTGCATACATAATAAGAGCATATTGTTAGATGAATTCTAAGTCGATGAAAAACAAGTATAATGTTTAAATAAAAATGAATATAAACAAATAAAATGATTTCCCTTCAATTCTATGACGGTCAGTTGACCTTTTACCAGGTAAAAAGGGTGTCGACTTTGTATAAAAAACCTGACTACTTTTGAAGTTTTATGATTAAACATGACTCAAGCATGACGTTCTATGGCTGCAATCGTAACAAAAGCAGTCTAAAATCATCAGAGATTCTGACTAAATTTCTGTTGTTTTGTGATTTTATTTTTAGTAGGGAGCATTGAGAAAGAACAATTATATGTTCTTTTCTTCTTTTATTCTGTTTTGATTATGTTCACTCATATCGTAATTAGAAAAAATTTCACAAAATATTGTAATAAAAAAAATGTGAGAAAACTAAAATAGTTCGGAATAATAATGAAAAACATAAAAAAATTGACAGAATACACGTGGAGTTCTATATATAAGGCTGCAGTGAGTCCCGGTTTTGTTAGTTCAAACTTCGCCACTATGTGCGCTCCCAGTAAGAAGTAAGGAATTAATAAGAATTCGAAATTTTTAATTCTTTTGAATTCCGTTTGTGACCAATTCTTTTCATTTTCATTTGGAGAAGCCGAAAAAAAGCTAAGTTTATTCTTTTGAATACCGTTTTAATATTTTAAGCGGAAAAAAAATTTGACAGTTCGAAGATTTGAACCCTCAAGCTTCATTGTCGTAGACAAACAGCTTGTCCGCTCAGCTATTTAAACTGTACTATGACTACCGAATTTTAGAAGCACTTATCTCAAAGTGTTGCAAACTTCAAAGGAATTAAAAAATTACAAAATATTAAAACGGAATAGACAGGAATTGAACTTACCGAGTATCACACAGTATTTCGGAATTCACAAAAATTCAAAAATTAAAGAAATATTAAAACGGAATTGATTGGAATTCACTTTCAAGAAATCTTTGCCTCAAAAAGGAATACATAGGAATTGGACAGAAACGGAATTCAAAAAAATTGATAATTTAACATTTTCTGTAAAAAGTTAAAAATGTCCAATTCTTCTCAATTCCTTACTTCTTACTGGGCTAGTTTAGCTGTTTGAATCGCCAATAAAGCTTCATCTACAGTCTCCCCATACACACAAATGCGAATGTATCTTAAATGCCTATGTTAAAGGCATTATATTGAACAACAATCTCACTCTACTTCAACTCCTTGTCCTCGCAATAAAGAAGACCCAAAATGCGTCCACTGACCCACCTAATCTTATCGATCAGATTCCAAAGACTGTCTTGAACTCATCTTTCAAAAGCAGTTTAGATCTTATGCAGCTGAAAATGGCGTTATTTTTGCAAAGGCTAAAGCAGCAGTTAGACCAAGAAAAAAATATTCGAATAGTGTTCACCCAACAAAGCTTAACCCTAAACCACATTTCAACTTTTCTCAAGAAAAGTGACTTTGTCTAACATATTTACTTCTATATGAGCCGCCGGAAAGTAATACCACATATAAAATTTGTTCAGTTGTTTCATTGGCCTGTACTATCTAAAAACTCAATGTTTCAAACATAAACTTTAGCCAAATTTATTTTTTGAAAACAGAAAATATAAATTAAACTAAAATTTGTGCCCTGTACATTGATTTTTCAGGCGTCATAGGGACCAATGAAAATGTCTGTACAATTTTATATGGTTTCCCGGCAAGAAGCGAGGAATTGAAAAGAATTCAGAAGTTTATTTCTTTTGAATGTGCGAATTTCCAAAATAATCCAATTCCTCGGTGGAGCAAGGAAAAGTAGCAAAATCTATTATTCTTAACGGTGTTCGACGGTCTCTGAAATTTCTAGATTACATTCGACAAACCGCTATCACCCAACAAATACGGCACTGCCTGGTTTAAATGATGTGAAATTGGTAAACAATCATTTTCGAACGAGTTTTTCTCTGCACACAAGCACTTTTTGCAAAATCTGCCCATGAACCATCGTCACGAATCTTCTTAATTACCTAAATCTAAAATATTTTTTTAATCCTTGAAGAAACGCGATTGCAAAATGGGAAAGGCCGGAGTAATGTAATGCGAATCATTTTGACAGCTGAGCCTTTACGCTCCCTGCATGCTTCTGCCCTCTAATGGCAAATGGTTGGAACAAACGTCTTGCCGCCTGTCATTACATTACTTTTGTTGCTTTTGCATTTACCATTTTGCAACAGCGTTTCTGCATGGATAAAAAAAATATTTTGGATTTAGGTAATTAAGAAGATTTGTGTCATTGGTTCAGATTCAGAATTTGCAAAAAGTGCTTGTGTGCAGAGAAAAACTCGTTCGAAAATGATTGTTTACCAATTTCACGTCATTCCCTATTGAAAATCCCCATATGGGAAACCAGATGGGAAACCACATGGGATCCTATGTCAAAAACCATGTAAAACCCTACTTCCATGAAGGAAACCACGTGGTTTACCATGTGGTTTCCCATGTCAAACCATATGGGAAATTGAGACAGGATTTTAGTTAGGAATAGACATGGGGAATTTGAACAGTTCATCTATGCATAAAACCATATCAAATCCCACATGTTTTTCCCAGTCAAATCCTAAACCGAATCCCATGTGAAAAACAGTATCATTTATTTATAATTATTTTCTCAAGTCAATCCCCAAGTGAAAAACAGTATCATTTATTTATAATTATTTTCCCAGTCAAATCCTAAACCGAATCCCATGTGAAAAACAGTATCATTTATTTATAATTATTTTCTCATGTCAAATCCTAAACCAAATCCCATGTGAAAAACATTATCCGCCTTATTGAATATCCTTCCATGGGAATCCACTTGGAATTTTACAAGGGATTTCACATAGGATTTTATATGGGAATTGACATAGGATTTCATGCAAGATTTCACCTAGGATTTAATATGAGATATCACATAGTATTTTATTAAAGATCCAATGAAGAAATTTTCAAAGGATTAAAAATTATTTAATAAAAAATTAAATAATAAATAGTATTAGTGTTACAAGTCATCAAAAAATTAAAAAAACGATCATTTGAAACACGTCCT